TAGAGGTTAAGTCTCAGTGCGGTCACCTCTGCAGCCTGTGTTCAATCCCAGCCAGGGAGCTAATCCATATGGTACAGCAGACCTCTCCTGTCTAGCCCACTGCTCCCCTCAGCAGTGTATTTCAGTCAATTCACCTGTTCTACCCTCTACCCTGTCTCTGGTGAATCCTCTCATCTCCCCCACCTCTGATCTACACCCCAGTTCCTGTATGCATAAATAAATAAAAACAAATCTTAAAAAAAAAAAAAAGGAAATTTGCGATTGGAAATTTGATAGTTGAAAAGTACTACAAATCAATTCTATAAACTGTGAAGCCTAAGTTATCATTATAGAATGAGGTATAAAGCTCAGAGAAAATTTTGAAGAGAAAAATTATGAGCTGATATGCCAGGAAAAATAAAATACATATGTCTTTTAAAATTAAGAAATTAGAGTGCTATTTTCTATCTCTTTCGAGCCTTGTTTTGTAAGTCAGTGACAATCCCCAAGGCTTAGTACCCCTTGCTTGAAATAAGATTAAAGTTAGGTACCAGAACAGATGGGCCATCTTTGACCTGTAACAATTTTCATGGTCCACTCTGTATGTCTTGCCCAATCCCCAGTTTTCTTCCTGTGGTCTATTTCTCCCATACACCCAGGTGAGTTGCAATCCATTTTTTAAAAATATTTATTTTTATTTATTTATGCATACAAGAACTGGGGTATAGGCCAAAAGTGTGGGGGTGAGAGGATTCATCAGAGACAGAGTGGGGTGCAGAACAGGTGAATCTACTGAAATATACTGCTGAGGGGAGCAGCAGGCTGCGCCATATGGGTCAGCTCCCTGGCCAGGGATCGAACTCATGCCACAGTGGCTGGCGGATAGCTTGATAGCTTGAGACTTTAACTCCTGAACCACCAGGGAAGCCCATACAATCCATTTTTGATGATGATGGTCATGATGATGATTATAATGATGATGTTGTTACTGACTGTCCCAAGCAGAAAGGAGATCAATTAAAAGATCCTTTAAGAAAGCACCACACTAAAACCCCTTAGCCATTAAGAGTTTAGAGTCTGGCTCTCTAAATGCCTTTTCTAATCAAACTTCTACTTCCTCCATGAACTGCTATTTTTTCTAAAACGTTAAAACCCATATTTCACGCAACATGTTACCCTACACTGTAAATCTCTCCATCCAAAATGGGCGCCCCTGACAAGAGGCCACTGAGTGCTTGTCATTTGGCATGTTTGAATTGAGATGTGCTGCAGGTGTATAATATATGCTGGAGTTTGAAGACTTAGTTTAACATAAGGGACCTAAAATATTTCATTTATTATTTTTATAATCATTACAAGTTGAAATAGTATTTTCAATTTACTGGATTGAATATAGTATCATGATGAATTTCACTGTTTATGGTTTTTAAAGTTGCAGTTAAAAATTTTAAATTACATATGTATTGTTTGATTTCAATGGATAGAAAACTTGAATGTGTGTGTGCATGTGTGAGTGTGTATATAGTGGCGCATGCCTTCAACTCAAACGCAAGCTCTTTGAGAGTAAGAATTAACACATACTTCTCTATGAGTTCTGTTATACTTAGTAGAATTCACAGCAGTGTGTAAATTCATGTTGACTAAATTCTTGAAGGCTTTTTCGAAGACTCACTTTGGCATTTTTTCCAGACAAGTTGCAGCGGATGAGCCGGGGGCTCCTTTTGAATGTGGGCTATATTTTGGGGGTGCAGGTCTGAGAGGAGTGTCACCATGGAGCAGCCATGCTATGAAGGGGTTCCATAGACTCCCATGTTCAAGCTCAGTTGCTTTCATGAAACATCTTTCCAGGTACTCGGGGTCCACAGACTCTGGCACTGTCCGCCAGGTCGGCTAATCATTCACCACCTTTGGCTTCCTCTGCAGCTACCTGTGGGCGGTGTCTGGTTTCTGAAGGACATTTCCTCTCTTCAAAGTCCTGAGACCAGGATGTTCATGTTTTAATGAACAACATACGGCTTTGGTGCCTGGTCCAATGGGGTCCTGAAGATTGCAGGTGGGGCCCTAAGAGGAGCTACTTGACCTCACATGTCCTATTTCCGACCTCATCACTGCGGTTGGTCCGCTCTGCTGTTCTTTCTCCTGCTCTGACCGCTCGCTCAGAGCTGCCAGGAACAGCCCAGGAGAGAAGCATAGAGGTTAGGAAAGCTCTGCCGCCCCCCTCGTTACTTGGACCCAGCCTCAGAGAATGAGGGGAATGTTAGCATGACCAAAGCAGCTCCCTTTGAGGCCTGTGGATATTTAGAGCACAAATGGACCTCATGTTTCTCCCAGAGCAGAGCCAAAAACCAAGAAAAGTCCCTCAGCTCCTCTCCGCCCTGATCCATGTCACAAGTATCACTCCAGTTTCCCCTTTGAATCCCTTCCCTCTGAGCACGAAGCTCCATGGTGCTCTCCAAGTGTTCCAATATCACACACACACACACACACACACACACACGAGAGCTAAATATGCTCACTTCTGTGCAATAATATTCATGCTTTTAATTTTCATTTTCACAGAAAATTAAGTGTTCCACTCACGTTTTTTCAGACAAGTAGTATGACTTCCAGAAAATCAAAGGAGAACTGGAACGAGAATCCAGATTTCTGACTTCCAGCCAAAGCATTTTTCACCTCTTTATGCTGGTTTGTTCATGTTTTAATGAACAACATGTAGCTTTGGTGCCTGGTCTTTCTATACCTCAGTGATGACGATGTCACTTCCAGGTTATGGGATTGCCAATGACGTCTAATTTTTTTTTTTGTGCTTATCTATTTTAGCTTATTTCCTACAATGATTATGTGTGGAAAAATCTAAAATTAAAATTTTAATTAAGCAAAGCAGATGGCTTTCAGAAAGCAGAATTAAGCTTTGTTTTTCTAACTTACATCCACATAAAATCTCCACCCCATCAGATCTCTCAGTTGCAAGAAGCAATGTGAGTTATTGTCATCCACAAGGCCAGAGAGATTTGATTTTTCTGGTGTTACAGTGAACTTGAGAAAGGAGTTATTTTTGCGGAGCAGCGCTGTCACCTGGTGTAACGCCTTCTCCCCACTGGGGGCGCTATCAGCAAGCATTTACTGCCACTGCGCACAGAATTGCTTTACTGGGGAACAGATGATATGCGGAAGACCTCATCACAACAGCATGCTTCATGATGAGGAATGAACCGCCTCTCCCCTCAGTACACCCAGAAAAACTCCTATTCCAAATACCCCCCTGCAATAAACCCAATGCTCAGGCCGTGCCTTGCAGTTTTTGCATTTTGCTCCTTGCCAGGCCTGTGTTATACAGTCGGCTATTACCTGATACTTGGAACTCTGTCCTCTGAGTTGCATTAGACTAGTCAAGTGACAGATAAATGAGGCTGATGCACTACTCCACATTAAACTACAAGTGGCCAAAACCAGCTCACAAAAGTCACTCCCCTCAGCTGTATCTGTGTTTTAAGGCCTACACCTTCATCCCTTGTATCAGGGGTGGCTCATGAAATTCATTTTTAAATAAAATTTTTAAATAAAAATGATTTTTAAATCAAAAATTAGACCTTATACATGTGTAGTAATGAAGTCTGTGAAGGCTGCTGCCTCCTAGCTTTGCTCAGGGGCAAGGCGACTTCTGGTCAATATGGCAGCACTGAGGACTAATTGTTAAGGCCGGTGCCCTTCACACTGAGTGAATCTCAGGGATCTGTCAGGCTGTTGGCTGTTCAAGGCTGAGGAAGTGATCCAGTGGGCCAGTCACAGAGTGCAGGAGGTGCAGTGCACCTGGCACCCCACACTTTGAGAGTGTGCTTAGGATGCTGCTTCACTTTCCCCTTCAGATTCTCATGCAAATTTCCTTGTAACCAACCCAGCCTGGAACAAACAGGGGAGGGGATTCTGGAAAAATGGCTCAAGCTTAGGTAGGTTGACAGACTACAAAACCAGAGGCCCTAAAATCAAAAGGTAGCTTTTTGGATCTATGTATCACCCAGCAGAGATGCTGAAGTGGGTGGAGTGGCTGGTGGCAACATGGGGGTCAGAAGGGCAGATAAAGGGAGACTTCTTGGTGATTTCCAGAATGTGTCTATAGAACAAAAAATCTGGCAGACTGACTGAAGTACCCTGTTCTTATATAAATAAATAAATCTTTAAAACAACAACAACAACAACAATGAATAGAAAATCTGTATCAGTGCTAAGCACATAGTATATAGTAATATAGTCAAAAGTTTGTAAATATGTGTCCATATAGAAAATGTTACAATTAATTCAAAGTTATTATTGAGCAGTACTGAGTGCCGGGATTCCTCTGGATACTAAGGCAGCTCTTTTTTTTTTTTTTTTTTAAAGATTTATTTATTTATTTATACAAGCAGTGGGTACAGTCAGAAGTACGGGAAGGTGAGAGAATTCACCAGAGCCAGAGCGGGGAGCAGAGCAGGCAGACTGATGAAGCACACTGCTGAGGGGAGCAGCGGGCGGCAGGAGAGGTCTGCGCGCCATGTGGGACCCTCGCCCAGCTGCCGGGAATTGAAAGGGCACTGCAGAGGCTGCGGACAGCTTCGCAACCCAGCGCTCACCAGGGAGGCCCCCCAAGGCAGCTCTTCGCCCCATCCCAGGTTGCTTTCCTCCTTCTCTGAGCACTCTTGAGGACAAAGGAAAGGAAGCCATGAGAGAAAGGGACAAATATGACCAGAAGCACCTCAAGGGCCCTACAGGAGAACCCCTAAAAGCATATTCACTAGCTTCCTTCTTTGGCAGAACCAGTGAGTTCCCGCTGTACCAGGATGGAGTGGAACAATGAGGCTTTACTCCCTCAAAGGTGTAGGCTTGTTTCAAGAAATATTTCCTCTCTGTGGGAGAGCAGTGGGTGGGGTGAGACAATAAAACCAGTGGAAGGCAGTTCTTTCTAAGGTCCAGATCTTGAGTGGACCTCAGAGTGGACGTGGCTGAGTTTCCCTCTTCCACCCTCCATTGGCCAGATCTGTGGTTCAATGGGAACTTTCATTGGTCATGTGTACCCAGGGTTGTTCCTAGTGACCTATGGACTCTATCAGGCCGTGGTGGTCTCCAGAGCTGTGATATTCAATGACTCCCTCCTGTATCCATCATGCCCCCCCAGGAACAAGGGAAGATGGAGCTGGCTGTGGAAAACATCCTACAGAGGTTTGCTGAAGGTGGTGACTGGCTCCATCTTGATAGCTTATGAGATCAGCTGCGTTAAAGGAGGACTGGTGCTGATGAACAGAGATCTGCCACCAAGATTTATGTACCCCAAGCAGTGGCAGCACCTCACCATGTTCCTCCTCCTCACCCTCAATGGCTGTGCAGATGTTGTAAGCAAGAACCTGCTGTCTCAGAGGTGTGTGGTCCTAGAAAAAGCGACTCAGGCCCTGGGCTTCTACGTGCTTCTGCTCCTGCTGGTGACGCACAGCCAGGGCTCTGCCGGGGTAGAGCTGCAGGTGCACGCGCTGCTCATCCTGGTGGTGTTCCTGCTGATGCTCGTGCTGACTGCAGGGCTGTGGGCTCCCGAGATCTCTCTCCTCTCATTCATCGAGACCTTTCTGTTCCTGATGATGGGCTCCTGGCTGATGCAGGCTGGCTTCATTCTGTTTCGGCCGGTCTCCGGCTACCCATGGCAGGACGATGACATCAGTGACATCATGTTTGTCACCACCTTCTTCTGCTGGCACGTGGTGATCAACGCCCTGTGCCTGCTGGGCATTTATGGTGGCTCTTCCTTTTGGCATCGTTGCTACAGACCCAGCTTGAAGCTGACAAGATCCCGAGACGCCCCATATTCCATGAGAGACGGAGGACCTCTCTATAAGTTGCTGCAGCAGGTGGAGCCACCAGAGAAGGATGAGCAGGCACCCATCCTTTCAAAGAGCTCGCGCTGAGACAGGGCCTAGGGTGCTTGGGGCATGGTCCACCCCGCCTTCCTCCCTGGGGGTTCTCTCCCACCAGGGCTTTGCACCCTCTTTGGTCCTGAGTGAAGGCAATGACCGTGATGGAGAGCAGTTGGTCTTCATCAGCTGATGCATGTCCTGTCCCTGTACCTGAGGTGATGAGAGAGGGGCATAAAAGGGGGGGGGGGTCTGATGGGCTCGACAGGGGGAGTAGGAAAGTGTGGGAGAATGCAGTGGAATGCAGGCCTTTGATGGGGAAGAGAGCAGGGCCCACTGGTCATGCTGTCACCAGTTGCTTCCTCCAGCCGTGCCTCCTGGTCATCGTCATTTCCCTGAAGGAATAAAGATTTTTCACAATTCTATAGGAATCATTCAAGTCTCATCCTGATAAAGAAAAGTGAGTATACTTCTCTTTGCTTTCCAAAGTGGCATCACCATACAGAGTGGCATAAACAGAATATATAATTCATTCACACAGGTTAAAAGAATGTTCTTTTTTGCCTCCTTTCCTCCCCTCAATTTTTTTTTTAAAGATATACTTATTTATTTATACAAGCACTGGGTACAGTCAAAAGCGCGGGAGGGTGAGAGAATTCACCAGAGCCAGAGCGGGGAGCAGAGCAGGCAGAAGGACCGAGGTACACTGCTGAGGGGAGCAGCGGGCGGCAGGAGAGGTCTGTGCACCATGTGGGACCCTCCTCTGGTGGCCGGGGAGCAGCCGGGGATCGAACTGGCTCCGCAGAGGCCACGGGCAGCTTCGCAACCCAGCGCTCAACCACTGCGCCACCGGGGAGGCCCCTCCCCTCAATTTTTAAGGATTGGCTGGCTTCACTTCAAATTCAAATTAATAAAGTAAGACCCTATTAATGCTTAATACAGTCACATTTCAAATTTGCATAATTCAAATTTTCATAGAATTCAAATGCTTAACTGTAGTTTTTACTCCTATTCTAGCCAATGCTTACCAATTTCACCATTATCGCTCATAGTCCTATAATTTACTGGATAATCTCCTTGGAGCTTTGCAAATTTTACTGCCCAGAAACCCACAGAAAGCTGTCCGGCAATCACATTTTTACATTACTTGGTACCAGCCTAAAAAACTGGCTTTACTCCTCACCCGACTGAGCAGCCCCTAGAGAGTTAGCCCCTGACTAACTCCTTTGTTCTGGAACTCACAGGCACTTATACTGAACTGGTCTGGTTAATTTGCTCCTACAGCAGCTACACTTTGCTTTGCCTGTTTCTGAAATAGTTTCTCTTGGGAAGATTTGCCCTCAGCACCTAAGGTGTAGACTCCTGAAGGATAAGGACATAATTTTAGGACAAATTACATCATTTCCTATGTATCCTCCAACTATGGCGCATAGGGGAGACTTAATAAAGGTTTATTTGCTTCCAGAATCTTTCCTTACCCCATCTCTGCTAAGAGTGTTGCCAGATAGGAACAAGGGTCTGTAAAGTACTGGAAGACACCCAGAGCCCCAAGCCTGATCACCAGCTTGGCTATAAGCCCTCTCTCTCTTCCTCATTCTTGGGATAACAAAATCCACTACCTGTTTCTGAATTGTTTGTGGTGTTATTTTATTTTAATCCTCACAAGCATTTCTAGAAGAAACTTTCAGAAAACCGAGACTCAGCCAGTTGACATGCCTAGGTCTTACAGCTTGAACGAGGCAAGACAGAAATTCAAGTACAGGTGGGTTGACTCAAGCCAGCACTGGGTCCCCTGGCAAGGACTGTGCTCTGGCAATGGAAAAGGGAGTGGTCCTCAAAATAAAAGTGTGCACACAATTAAAAAGAAAAAAAAGGTCAGCCAGGACATTCAGCTGAAGCAAGCAGCACTGGGTAAATACTCCAGACCCCTCAAGGGTATGTTTAGGTCACACATTCTGTCCACCACCCCCTCCCAGCCTCCACTTGGAGGGGGCTACACTCTGGTAAATGTTCAGTTTCTGACTGTCTTAAATTTCTGGGCTCAGATCCAAGTGAGAGCTAAGGAAAAGACCTTTTTGTGACCAAGTCTCCCAACTTTGCCATATCCACTTAACTCTTGGTTCCTAGGCTCTTTGCAAGTACAAGGGGGGTAGCCAGGGGGAGGGGGAGATCCTTTTCTCTTTACCTCTCTTACACATTGATGGGGCATGATGCTAAAGCACAAACACTCTACCTGCCCATTTCTAGTCATTTGAGGTTGAATTTTATAATGGTTAAAAAAAAAAAACCTGGTAATCAGTTGATTTCCAGAACATAATATCACCAAAACATCCAAGGAAACAAACTTGTCAGTAACTACTATAGATATAGAGAGAGGGCCTCAACCACGTTGATGACTCCCTTTGAACAACAGTCAAGAAAAAAAAAAATTAAGCGTTGGGGAAGAAGCTTGTAATTCTCCCAAAATTCCACCAGAGGGCAATAGGTTCCCACCACCCCAGCCAAACCTCGCACTAATCCGGTAAACAAGTCTCCTGAGAATGGTTTAAAAGAAGTGGGGGAAGGGAAAGGAGGCCCGGAAAAATACAGAACCAGCCTAAGTATTGCCCAAGCATCCAGAAAATACCCCAGGGCTGTTTGTTTCCCGTTAAAATTTGGCAAGTGACAGTGATATAAACAGGGATCCAAATCAGCTAATGGGATGGGGTGAGGGAGGAGGAACTAAGGATTCACTTGAAGATTTCTGTGGGAAAAGGACCAACTGAAAGACACACTCTGACCCCAATAATTTGTTTCACCACAATGGTAAATATCCTAAATGTTGTAATAAGCTTCAGCAATTTTCTAATCAATTTAAAGAACAAAGATAGGGCCATACCTAGAGAATAAAAAAACAGAATGTACATATGGAAATCTCAGACTCACAAAACAATGGAAGTAAGAACAGATTATTCCATGCACGCTGTGATCTCCAAAGGTCCCTTTAAAGGAAAGCTGCCTTAAAGCATGTTTTCCTGGTAAGCTGTTGACAAAGAATATATGGAATGTTTGCTCTATGTGAGGCCCTGGGGAAGCCACAGTGCAGCATTCAGGGCAACTGGTGGGTCTCTGCACTCTGGGAGGACAGAGGGATTCAGGTTTGAGAGGGGTGGCCCACGAATGCAGTGTCCATATTCTGGGGAGACAAGAAAGGGAAACAGATTAAGGCTCTCAGGGAGTTAGCTTTGAAAGCACTATGTGATTGCAGCCGGCAGCTACAAGTTGTCCAGGCTGCAGCTTCCTCCTCTCCTGGAATGATTTGAAGATCTAATTCTAGAATAATTCTCCCTGTTGTTAGCTAAGAAGAATTTAATTCTTCCCAACTCATCAAGCAATTTCCTGTAAGAGACAAGATTTGCAGTAGGGCTCAAACAGACCGAAGCCTTCAGTCATAAGGGAGAGTTGGGGAAATGGCTTCTCCCTATAGTCTCATGGTTTTAAGGGGATTCAAAAATTCAAGTCAGGCTAAAGCATCAGCGCTGACACTTAAACTTCTCATTTCCTAATCTGAGTTTGCGAGTATCAAACAACCAGAAAGGATATGAAGAGTAATTCCTCTCTGCTAAGATAGGTGCTGAATTAATGCAAAACTTGGTTTTTCCTTCTTTAATGGTATAGATTGAAATCTGAAAGTCTGGCCAACTGCAGCTTGTCTCCAAAATTTGGTTTAAGAATAATGACACCAACCTCCAGGGCTTTTTCTTTTCTTACTTTTACTTTTTGCTTTTTTTTTTTTTTTGCATGTATTTGTTTGTTTATTTATACAAGCACTGGGCACAGTCAGAAGCTCAGGAGGGTGAGAGAATTCACCAGAGCCAGAGCGGGGAGCAGAGCAGGCAGAAGGACCTGAGTACACTGCTGAGGGGAGCAGCGGGCGGCAGGAGAGGTCCGGGCGCCATGCGGGGACCCTCCTCCGGTGGCCGGGGAGCAGCTGGGGATCGAACCTGCGCTGCAAAGGCCGTTGCGCCACCGGGGAGGCCCTTCTTACTTTTACTTTTAAGAACTATATTACGGTCTATTCTTTTGAAAAGAACTGGTGCTGTTTTTAAAATAATAGTTTACAATTCGGGTTGGGTTTAACAGGGTGTTCTTCAAGACTAGGTCTCAGTGATGTTCCTTTGACCGCATGTAAGATTTTTAAGAATCACTCAAATACAGATAAAATTCCATTTCCCAATCTGCATGTTGAGGCTGAAGATTTGGGACTGTCGGGGTGGGGGTGGAGGGTCGTCTTCTCCCAAATCCTGGTCTTGCAAGCAGCCTCACTGCTCTGAGAAGTCACTCTCAGATCACTAGATTAAGGGCTTCCGACCCACACAGTGAGAATGGGTCCTTGAAAAGAGAGAGAAAGCAACTGAGAGGCTCACAGGTAAAGCTCGCCCAGGACCAGCCCTTAATTTTAGGCAGCCACACTCAAGAAATGCTTTTAGACCTCGCCATTTCTACAGATTTGGCAGCAAATCTTTACCTGTAGCATTGCTCTCCCACTCCACCCACCCCTTGGACATAGCTACTCCACGCTGGGAGAGAAAAGCCTGACTTCAAAGTGCACTTAGTAGAACCCCCTGTGGGCTTTGATACTGCATGTACCCAGAGACAGAAGAGTTCATGGGTTCAAGCATTCTGATGCTCTTTTTATGGAGGGGGTGGAAAATGAGGTGGGTGGCAATTTAGAGAAGAGGGAGAAAGATAACAAAGGGCAGCAAACACAGCAAAGTCAAACTGGATCAAACAGGCCATTCTACTTTCAACTTCTCTGAAAGCACACTCTGGTTTCTGGGGGCAAACCAGTTAGTTACGTGATTTTTTTTTTTTTCTTTCTACTTTTTCTTTCCTCATATTCTATGTTTTCCTGATCAGTCCTCACTGGGTCTCTGGTTCGGGGGGGGGGGGGTTTCAGTAAGTGTGGAGCCGACTCAGGACAAGGCCTTTTGCTCTTAAGTCTTAGAGGTCATGAATTTCAGTGCTAACTCTCACAAGGTGTACGCCTGGTCACAGGGACGGATCAAAGCAACCCATCCCCATTCTTGGAACAGCAGCTCAAAGCACAGTCTCTCTTGATGGTGCCGCTGTCATTTGTGTGGTCAACTAACACCATTTATTGAACATTCACCCTGGACCCTATTGGAGGGACAAAGTAGAATAAGCTGTCGAAGGAACTTGAGATGCCTAGCAAGGGAGGCAGGCACTCGCATGGCAAAGTCTAGTGCCATAAGCTTTAAGAACTGCCTTTGTGACTCCCTTGTCTATTTACTGTTAGGGCTACCCTCTGCCCTCAGCTAGTGATGACTGCAGAAGGCTCTGGTTTAATTTAGGCAGTTTTGCATATGGAAATTAACATCTTTTAAAAGAAGAGCATCACCCTTCCCCTCCTCGTTTAAATGAACCATTTAAATTCAAGACTTGACAGAAAGACATGGAATAAACTAACACCAGGTCTGAGCCTGCTTTCATAATGAACTACCGGTGATGCATTATACTCAATTAGAAAGTTGTACTTAATGGGTTGTTACGGGGAAGGAAATAATCCAGCCTCTTCTGATTATCTTGGCCCATAATTAGTCACTGTTTTGTAGACCTTTATTATGTTCCAGGTACTATCCTAATCTCCTTTGCATATGCATCACAATTGACCTCTGCAAATACAAAGTAGCTGTTACCCCAACTTTGTGGCAAAGAAGCTGAGGCTTCATATTGTTACAGGGCAGCCCAGATATAAAACGGGTTGCCTGGCTGTGGGTCCTCACCTGGCTGCTTAACTCCACCCTCAGGTTCCAGCAACCTTCCCTTTGGTGGTGACAGGATTTGTCTTTCCCAATGTCCTGATGGCTTTGGTCTGGAGTGGGGGTGGAGTCCACAAAGCCTGCATGAAATTAGCTCAGGACATCCTTTCCCCCTAACAATATGGTTAAGGAACTAAACCAACACAAAGCTGGTAAGAGGTGAAGCTCAAATTTGAACCTCTGTCTGACATGATGCCCAGTCTTTAACCATCACATCAGAATGCCTTAAAGCACAGCACCAAACTTCCATGGAATCCCTTATATTTGCAAGGTTCCTTACCCAATCTAGAATGTCACCTTGTCTGAAAACTATCTAAAACCAACTCAAATGCTGCCTCTGTCATTTGACAGCACCACAAGTGCTACACACTCTTAAAGGGAAGAGAGGTTGACCAAAGTAGTCAAGTTGTGTGTATGTGGCCACAGAACATTGTTTTTCCATATTTGTGGTACAAGAAATAACCAGAAGAACAAACTTCTTACTTTCTCTTCCAGAAGCACAGGAAGCATGACTTTTTGGTCTTCCAACAGAAAAAAACCTTAGGCTCAAATACTAGGGCTCCTGAAAAATGCCATAAATTTTAGGCAATAAAAACAGAATGATTGAGTAACAGCTCTGGGAATAATGAAAATACCCTTTGTGTGGTGCGTGTGTGTATATACACATAATTACTGGACACCTGTTGACAAGCATCCATTTCAAGATTGCATTCACACGCACATTTTCTCAACCACAGCAATGCTGGGCGTAGCAAGGGGTATATATTCTCATTATCCAGATTAAAAAGGCGCAAATGAAATCCTTGATAAGCAAAACCAGGGAAATTTGCTTAAGGAATTGTTTTTGTTTTTTTTTTTAACCTACCCTGGTCTTCAGAGGGGGCTTTCAAAGGCCTACTTTTCTTTCAGCTGCCCTTGGCGAACAGTGTGCACAAAGAATTTCAAATCTAGTAGGTACTCAAGGTTCTCCATTTGCAGAAGAGGAAAGCGCCCAGAGCGTCTGAGAGATTTGTCTCAGTTATGGAATCAGATAGGTCCCCGGGCTGTGTTTTCCACCAAGACCTCCCTGTGGAAAGCTCGAACACTGCGCGTGGACGCCAAATGTGAACTCTCGGACTTCAGTTCACTTCCCCAAAACACTGAGCCAGTAAGGGCTCCTCCAAGTCTCCCTGGGGCAAGCCCGCGCGGCCCGGCCAGTGCTTCCCTCTCAAACTCGAAGCGGGAGCCGGGAAGAGGGGTGGGGGACCGGGGTTCTCCAACAAGAAAAGGCAAAATGATGTCGCAGTGGGCGCTGGTGGGTCTACCGCACGGCCTCGCCAAGGAGATGCCTCTCCCGCAAACCTACCCAGCCCCAGAGCAGGAGGGCGTTTTGCCGGGCGCCTAGGGCCAGGGCTAGGGGCTGCGGAGACCGCCCCAGGCGGCAGGCGGCCCGGGCAGGCGGGGTCCTTCGCAGCCCAGCGCGCGCTCCGCCCGCCGCCCCGCGGCCCTTCCTCCCAGCCCTTCCCCCACGCGCCCCCTCCCCCACGGCCCTTTCCTTTTCTTTCTTTCCCTCCCCAGCCCGCTCGCCCCCACCCCGGCGCCCGCCCGGCTGCTCGCCCAATGGCCGCGGTGCCCCGGCGCGCATCAGCTGATCCTCCCGGCTCCCGGGCCGCCGGGAGCCAATCAGGGCGCCGGGGGCGGCCCGGGCCGCCGATAAAGGGCGCGGGGCGGCGGGCGGCCCTGCAGAGCCTAGAATGGGAGAAGGGTGGGTCGCCTGAGTAGTGCCGCCGGCCCCTCTCCGCTCCTCTCGGCGCCTCGCCCTCCGGCCTGCCTGCCCAGCCGCTCGCTCGCCGCCCAGGTAAGCGCCCACCAGCTCGCTGGGCGCGGGCGCAGCTCCTGGGTGACGGGGCCTGCAGCGCGGCCCGGCCCTGGCCCGCCTCTCTCCCCACTCTCCGCCGGGCCTCCGCGCGCATCGCCGCGGGTGGCTCCCGGCGCTCGCGCCTGGGGACTTGGGGCGCGCGCGTCACTCGACTGCTGGAGGGCGGGGAGTTGTTTTGATCTTCCTGGGGCTCCGGGCGGCCCAGAGCGCCGCCCCTTGGAGGCCGCTCGGCCGGTGGGGCAGTGCTGCGGCTGCCCGGGCTCCGCGCGTCTTTGCGCGCGGTGGATGGAGCAGTTGGATCCCGGGCAGGAGTCTGGAGCCCTGCTCCTCCTCGACCGTGGCTCTTGTCGGCTTCGGGGGCGCGCGCGCGTGTGTGTGTTGCGGGGGCGGGGGGGTTCTTAGTGATCATGAAGAGCGGCAGATCCTAGGCTGGAGCCAGTGGCCGTGAGCTTTGATGGCGCGCTGTCCCCTGTTGCGGGACCCGGGGTCCTTCTTCTGTGATTAAACAATGGGGCGCCCCAGCTGCGGCGTGGCCGGCAGGCGCGGCTGCGGAGAGGCCTGACCGCAACAGGCAGAGGGAGCAACAACGCGGGTCCATCAGGCAGACGCCTCGGCTTCCTCCCCTGCCCCCCAGCTTTGGCCCTCAGTGGAGGGGTATGCACCCCTGGGGCAAAGTCCTGAGATCCGGACGGGGGCCCGAGGGGCGGGGCGTCGACTTTGGGGACATTTCCGGGCGAAAGGGCTGCTCTCAAGGTGGATTATTCCAACTCGCCCGGGGGCGGGAAGCGGGGGTCCCACCCCAGCCGCAAGTATGCGCACACCACAAACGACGATGAAGATGACCAGGAGTCGCAGTCCTCGGGGACCCCCGCCAACTGCTTCGGCTTCGTCGCCTACTCAGTGAAATCCGGAGAGAAATCGCGATTCAAGTTCAGGACTTTAAACCCCCATCCTGAGTACTGCGGCACGTTGTGGCCCGAAGATCGCTCCCTAACCCCGTCACCATCTCCATCTTCATCTCCTTCGCCCAGAAAACTCCGCTGTGTGGACCAGCGAGAGCCGGGGAAGCAGGAGAAGCACCACGAACACCACTCCAAACGGAGAAGGGCCAGAGAGGGCCCCGCCAACGGTGCGCTCGACCTGCTGTGGCTGGGGTGAGTGAGGGAGCAGACAGGAGGACCCCCCCAGAACCGGCTGCAGCAGCAGAAACAGCTGAAAACTCAGCAGATCTCTTTTCCTCCATCGGCTGCACCAGTTGATTAGTGGACCAGACTGTGCGCGTTCAAGGCGGCCGCCCCAAGACAGCAGATCCCATATCGAGCCTTAAGGCAGAAAGTGGTTAGATGTTGGACTTAACAGGTTGGGGAGAAAGGCTGGAGATGGTTGTTGTAGGTTTTAGGCGGAATCAAAGGGTCGCAGATTTTCCTTGCTGACCTTTAGAGGTGAGGGTGGGCAGCGAGTTTGATCCTTTTTCTAGGCTCAGTAGACAAAGATATTTGTCTCCTCTAATTTGTCTTGACAGACGAAGTTCTCCTCTTCCCCAAGGGGAAGGGTGAGGCTGTTGGAGAGAGAAGCAGTTATGTTTTCAGCTGGGCAAACATGGACGGTTGCCCATAGAAACTTTGCCACTGTGCTTCGCAAAGTTGCCCAAGTCTTTGGAGGAGAACAATGTGTTCCCTTTCCAGACACCCTGGGCTGGGGGTGGGGAAGGGGAGGGATAGGGATGGGTAGGAAGTTTCCTCCTGTGTTGAGGCTGGTTTTGTGGCTTGGGGTTTGTCTTTCAGAGGTTTGGTTGGTGGTGGTGGCTGGGAGTTTAAGTTTTTGGTATGCCGTTTTGAAACCCCAGGTCTTTTTTCTTTAGAAGTGGGAATGTCTTAATTACTTGAAATTACTTGAAAAGTGTTTTAATGGAATTTCAGCATTCATTCTCAAACCTTCAGTTTACCTTCGGAAGCATTGCGTCAGACTCAGGGAAATTAATGGCAGTGTGATTCTCAGAATGCTTCTCCGATGTCTGTTTTTAAATCTTGGGGATAGCCAAGCTGCGGTTCTTACATTCCTTTTAGGAAGTTGCCAGCCTTTTAAATCGTCTAGGTAATCCCGTTTCATCCCACCCACCATCTAAATTTTATCTGTTGTTTTTTGGAGGGGTAAAGGAATTTCCACTAGGATCCAAGGCAAAGGGAAGCCTGGCCAGAAACCATAGTAGCCAAGCCTTTTGCTGACAGGACTGTGCTTTTGTATTACATATGTTGTGGAAACTGTGAATTTTTATACTTTGTTTTCTTCTAATATCTTAGTAGAAGAAATAAAACAACTTCTTTATCTCGACTGTACTGAGAAATTAAAGCTTAGTCTTTGAAATTTTTTGTCATATGGAACTTTTATCTTCCTGAAAGCAGAGTAAATAAATATACCATGGGGTGTGTGACTTCCAAAGGGAGGGCCTCCATTCCCACTGTGACTTCTTGATTTAATTTGTTGCTTTTGCGCCACTCCTTCAGAGGATCAATTTTGAGTTGGTGATCTTAATTTTTTCTCCCCTTTCCAGAACACCTTCCACCATGGCCACTTCAGCGAGCGCCCAGTTAAACAAAGGCATCAAGCAGGTGTATATGTCCCTGCCTCAGGGTGAGAAGGTCCAAGCTATGTACATCTGGATCGATGGTACTGGAGAAGGCCTGCGCTGCAAGACCCGGACCCTGGACAGTGAGCCCAAGTGTATAGAAGGTGAGATGGGGCTGGGATTACTAGCTGGCTGGGAGCAGTGTGCCAGTGGGCAGCAGTCTGAGAGCAAGCCACTACATTTGGCCCGTTACACTAAAGCTTTTCTAAGGTAGAATTTCAGACTTCCTGCACTGCCTGAAAGCTTAGCAACAATGAATCCCTTTATTTAAACCAATCTCACACATAAACTAGCCAGACCTTGAAGGAAAAAAAAAAAAAAGTCTGGTAGGGTTGGGGGGCTTTAGAGACTTTGCTCACTTGGGTGTCAATCCTTACTTAGCTGACTCCACGACACCCCCAGGAACCCAGTTTTAAAAGCACTGCTCTAACCTATGACATGTATTTTACATGTAGTTTACAAACTCATTAAATACTGTCTCATACTCCTGGTGCTGGAGTTTCAGATGCAAAGCAAACTCTCCCACAAGTGGGTTTCTAAATAGAACTAGTAGACTAGTATTTCATTTGTTTTTAGTTTATAATACTTTTGGAAATTCTGCAACTGTCAACTTGCATATCCCACTAAGAGCTAGAGTTGTGACCTTCATTTCTTGGTCTAGAACAAGCCATAGTCCTCCTGGGGGACCAGAGGAGAAAAACTCACCTCTTACCTACTTTTAGGCTAGCTTCAGGTTAACACTAGAGTGAACGGATGACTTTAATACAAAGAGTGTATTGTACTACCCACTGTGTGGCAAGTAGTCGACAGGCACTAGGAACTCAGAGTCTGGGTGTAGCTGTCAGATAACTCATAGAAAAGAAATCGGCCTTTAAAACATGGTGGGGAAAGTGAGTAAGTGATAGGGGAGCAGCGGCGTGAATTACAGGTGCCTTAGTGGGGGAATCAGAGAACCTGTGTCGTCTTATTTCAATATTTTCAGTGATGACTGACTTCCTGGAGATGTCAGAATATTTGACTATATTTAGTGGGGGGATCACGCTTAGACTGTGTTTACAATTATTATTTCTTTTAAGGAAGTGGGGCACTGGGAGCTCAGATAGGAGGGACTTCAGAGCGCAAGCAGATGGCAGGGTCTTCTGCATAGCAATGGTGACATCCGTAAAGCACTGTTTATTTTTTCCCTCCTCTTTTTTACTTAAGAATTGCCCGAGTGGAATTTTGATGGCTCTAGTACTTTCCAGTCTGAAGGTTCCAACAGTGACATGTATCTTGTTCCTGCTGCCATGTTTCGGGACCCTTTCCGCAAGGACCCCAACAAACTGGTGTTTTGTGAAGTCTTCAAGTACAACCGGAAGCCAGCAGGTAAGCCTGGTGTGGATGCCTCCCTCCCTGTCCGTGAATGCTGAAAGGGGAAGGGGAACATTTCATTGTCGACGTTGGGACACTAGATGGCCAGAGCTGTTTTAAGAGGGTAGGGCATTGGACAAGCATCTGTACCGTACAGAAGGAGTATGGCCCATTCTCATGGTTTCCACTCCTGGTTGCACAACATTGGATTTTTCAAAATCTGCTTGCCAGTGGAGCTCTCCTGAGACAGCGCTGTTGTCCGCGAGTAAATGTTAATTAAGAGCCCAGGATCTGCAGTTACCATGTAGGCCAGGTGTAGCTGGTGTGTCTGCTGGCTCTGAACTCAGGCACATTATTTATCCCCTATACCCATTACCTGATTTTAAATTAGGGAATACAGCAAAGTCATCACACATTTGTTTGGAAGATTAAATGAGCTAATATGTGCAAATAATCAATGATGTGAGTACATCAACTATCCACTCACTGGTTAAAATATGAGCATTTTGGTTCACTGAGAGCATACGTTTGCCTTGTGGTTTTATCACTGCACCTTTGGTTTCTGTCTGGCTCATCTCAAATTTTCAGCTAGTCATTTGCTTTACACTCTATTTAGTTTCACTTCTATGGAGACTTCCTACACTGTCAATGAAACTTTTTGACAAGTCACTTAGTGACTCTGGGCCTTGATTGCCCTTGTTTTGAGAGGCAACATCATATTGTGACGGCAGAGCTCTGAAGCCTGGTTCCCCAGTATCCGGTATCTCAGTTTCTCATTTGTAAAATTGGAGGCTTAGAATGCCCACCTTGGGGTTATTAAGAGTTGTGGGGTTTTATTAAATACAGAGGCTTTAAAGTGGTTCCTGCATGAAGCAGTCAATCTGTACCTATTTTAAAGTTCCCTTCTCCCTTGGAAATTGTTTCCTGTTGTACCTGTGTCACTTTGATGCTTTCTTTTCATGCAAGCTAGTACCATACAGCTTGAGTCCTATATATTCTACAGTTTTTAAGGTTGGGCTAGCACTTCCATCTTCTCACCAGGAATGTGAGGCTCCTAATCCACAAATGATTTTCTCAGTAAGGACTGTAGATTTGGCGCTAAATGCCTGTGAAATTAGGAAATAATTTTGACAACTTGAAGCAGCTGTCTTGTGAATAGAGGGGTTAGAAGCCTGACATTTGGTACTTGGGGTTTAAGGGCCTGACATTTGGTACTTGGGCTGGCATGCAGAGAAGGTAAGAGTGTGGTCTGTTCTGGCTCCTCTCCCATGTGACTTGGTTGGAGCCCACTTCAGCCCTGGGTTGTCTTGTGTGAATCTCTGTACAGAAGCTACTATGGCTTATCCCATCTTCCACTCCTAAACTGATGGGCACAAAAAGGTTTACAGTGGGAAAATTTCACCTTATAATCAACTCACCTGCGTAGAATCTAAACACCATTTTCCTATCATTACTGGGATTCTGTGTACACTTTCACATTATCTCTAATGGCACATTGGCTTTTTATCTAGAGACCAATTTAAGGCACACCTGTAAACGGATAATGGACATGGTGAGCAACCAGCACCCCTGGTTTGGAATGGAGCAGGAATATACTCTTATGGGCACAGATGGGCACCCATTTGGTTGGCCTTCCAACGGCTTCCCTGGGCCACAAGGTAAGTCTCTTAGTAAGAGATAAGCCTATTCCTCACATGCTTAATTGGCAAGTAAAGTCTCCCCAGAGATAGGAGTAATGCCTTAGAGATCAGAAAGCTGTGGAGCTTTGAGACTGTCTGAAATCATTTTGTAAAGAGCCTTGTGTTAACCACATCCAGATGTGGATGTTTATGCATTAACTTTGAGGGGAAGTCTTTGGTCCTACTGAGGATATGGCCAGAGGAGCCCCCATCCCTCCACCCCCACCTCTGGTTGATGGCAGGGTTAGTGGTTCCAGAGAACATGTATTGAGAGCTTTCTGATTCCTGGCTTGGGGCCACCCATCTTCGGTGGAAGGGGGTTTCCTGGGTTTTGTCCATTTGATGTTTGTTTCCATGTCCCTGCAGGTCCCTACTACTGCGGTGTGGGCTCGGACAGAGCCTACGGCAGGGATATTGTCGAGGCTCACTACCGGGCTTGCTTATATGCTGGCATCAAGATTGGGGGTACAAATGCTGAGGTCATGCCATCCCAGGTAAATGGCTATGGTCTGTTACCCTCCCGGCCTCTGAAGACTTCGGGGTGGGCCGTGGGAACTTTTGGTTAGCAAGAGCTGTCGAACCACTCCTTAACCCCAAACTTGGCAGGGGAGTAAAGGGGAGTGAGCTGGAGTAGAGATGAGAAAAGACAGGGTTTGAAGCTTCTAAGTGGGGCTAAACAAACAGTCAGCTTCATTTTAAACACTAACCTCTTTCTCTCCAGTGGGAGTTCCAGATAGGGCCCTGTGAAGGTATCGAAATGGGAGATCATCTCTGGGTGGCCCGTTTCATCTTACATCGTGTATGTGAAGATTTCGGGGTGATCGCAACCTTTGACCCTAAGCCCATTCCCGGGAACTGGAATGGTGCCGGCTGCCACACCAACTTCAGCACCAAGGCCATGCGGGAGGAGAACGGCTTGAAGTGAGTGCCTGGCCGAGGCCATTTTACTCTCTCTGCAGGAATTCTTGTCGCGGACCTGGTATCTTGGGGGTGAAACTTAGCTTGGTGCTTGTAGAAGACAGTGTAGAAGACACTGTCTTCTAATGTTACCACTTTGTTCCCATTTGGAAAGTATCCAGTGATCTCTCATGAGAGAGGGATAGTGACAGGGAAAAGGTGTCAAAGATTTACTGTTGAAAATATTTATTTTTTATTTTATTATTTATTTATTTTTTTAAAGATTTATTTATGTATTCAAGAACTGGAGTACAGGCCAGAAGTGTGGGGGAGGGGGTGAGAGGATTCACCAGAGACAGAATGGGGAACAGAACAGGCAGACTGAAATACACTGCTGAGGGAAGCAGTGGGCGAGACAGGAGAGGTCTGCTGCGCCATGTGGGTAGCTCCCTGGCTGGCCGGAGATCAAACTTGTACTTCAGTGGCTACGGATAGCTTCATTGGTTGTGTCTTAACCCCCTGTGCCACCAGGGAGGCCCTGTTGAAAATCTTTAGTAAGAACTGAATCAGTGGGCCTCCCCTGGTGGTGCAGGCGGTTGAGCACAGCGCTATGAGGCTGTCCGCAGCCTCTGCAGCGCCAGTTCGATCCCGGCCAGCCGGCGAGGGTCCCACATGGTGCAGCGGACCTCTCCTGTCGTGCCCGCTGCTCCCCTCGGCAGTGTATTTCGTCAGTCTCCTGTTCTGTTTCCCGCTCTGTCTCTGAATCCTCTCACCCTCCCATGAATCTGGCCTGTGCCCTGGTTCTTGTATAAATAAATCTTAAAAAAAAAACAAACAAAAACTGAATCAGTAATGGTACGGACCTGTGAACGAAAATTGAGGGTGTGAGATTCTGGTTCTCTGCCCTGAGCACAGGGCACATGGAGCAAGTTCAGGTCACTCTGCTCCTGGGTTGGTTCCACTTGGGCCAGTAGAAAGCAGAGTTTGGTAGAGGAGTCACTCCCTTCTCACTCCCACACCTGCTGTCTCCACTACCCTTGAGGGGGGCAGGTTTCAGGGACACAGGTGGATCTCACCTTCTCTGTCTCCTGTAGGTTCATCGAGGAGGCCATCGACAGACTGAGCAAGCGGCACCAGTACCACATCCGAGCCTACGACCCCAAGGGGGGCCTGGACAACGCCCGGCGGCTGACTGGATTCCACGAAACCTCCAACATCCACGACTTTTCTGCCGGTGTGGCCAACCGAGGCGCCAGCATCCGCATCCCCCGGACTGTCGGCCAAGAGAAGAAGGGCTACTTTGAAGACCGTCGCCCCTCTGCCAACTGTGACCCCTTCTCGGTGACAGAAGCCCTCATCCGTACGTGTCTCCTCAACGAAACTGGCGACGAGCCCTTCCAATACAAAAACTAAGTGGACTAGATATGCAGCCGTGAAAGCCCTCTAATTCTGCACCTCCTCCCTCTGCCACCCCTCTCTGAATTGTCCTAATAGCTGTAACTCAAAGGGTGGAATATCAAGGTGGTCTTTTCATTCCTCACGCCTAGTTAATCTCTCTTGCTTTCTTTGGCCAGGATAGAGGGGTCAAGTTCTTAATCTCTTCACACCCACTCAACCCTCCCTGCCCCTTGTTTCCCTATCACTGAAGCTTTAGTTAGTGGGGAGGGGGTTGGGAAACATAACCACTGCTTCCATTTAATCAGGTGTGTGTGTCCAGTAGGCGTAGCTGTGCAGACAGAGGACATAGTATTTGTGAAGGGAGGGGGAAGACTTTTTCTTCGAGGTAGCTAAGTGTGAGGGGAGAGGGTCACTGACTGAATCTGTTCAAGTTAGGTTCACCCCTCTCGGGAGTAGCTTGGGAAGTTACAAGGTTATAACCAACTTGCTATTAAAACCAAGAATAAGGAAAGGAGAGAATAGGTGGGAGTCTGGTGGAAAAGGACCCCTGCCTCATGCTCCCAGGTGGCGCCTCCAGGCCTGAAGACAGTCGAGCATAGACTGATAGATAGACCTACCTTTGAGGGAAAAGTTCTTACTGCTTGGTCCTCCATTTATAACACAAAGCAGAGTAGTATTTTTATATTTAAATGTAAAAAGAAAAAAAATTATATATATGGGTGTGTGGATATGTGTGTTTTTTTTCTAAAGGAGAAAATCAATCCGGTCACCAAGGGCCAAATGTGAGGGGGAGTGGTCTCGTTGGGCAGGAGGATCTCCTGGTTGGGATTGTGGGGGGTAACGCTGGAAAAGTAGGGCTGTTAGTCCTCCACTGCCACTTCCAGGGTTTCTGTGGCCATGCCCGCTGTCAGAGAGAGGTGGACACGGGTCAGGTAATTGCAGGAAGGAGGTCCCTGGCGAAAGGAGTCACCTGGGCCCATGACATTGGTCTCAAACACACATGGACTTGAACACACGAGCTTAATGATCTGAGTTGGCTGGTCAACTTGCGCATGTTGCTGACAAAGGGTTTTGGGGTTATTTTTCTGGCGGGACTAGCATGTCACTAAAGCAGGCCTTTTGATATATTAAAAATTTTTTAAAAGCAAAACAAGGTTAGATTTTAATCATATTTGTAGGGTTTCTAAGTCTTTGTTTTACAGAATTGCTTCTTTGCTTTACAGAATTGCTTCTTTGCTTAACTCGGTATCCCTGCTCTTTTGAGGAGCACGGGCTTGACTAAAGTCAAAACACTTGTAATTTTGTATCTTGGTGTGTCTTCTCTGAGTGTGAAATACTCTTTGTTAAGATTCCTGAGGAGTTATTTTTCCCTTTTATAATAAAAAGGCCCCACCTCATCCCTACCTTTCCCTGCTGTTCCTGGCTGTCTTTCTGTTGTCTACGGCAGGCCAGTTGCAGTTTCTCTTGCCAGGATTCCTGATGCCTTGTGCAGTATGTTCAGAGTTAACTCCTCGGTATAAACAAGTTGTGTTAACTACCCAGAGCTGCTCATATAAATCAACCTAACATTTATAAGATCTCTTCTGACTTGATTCTTTGTGATTCTTTGAAATCTCTAAGAGCCATTATTCAAAAAGGGGTATTTTTTTTTTTTTTTAATCAGCAAAGCTTTACTTGTCAATGGGATTTTGTAATACATATTTGCAATATGTAAAGCCATATTGCCTACCAGCTCTTCAATGGATGGGGTTTTTTTGTATTTCTAGATTAAGGCATGAGACAGCTGTATTAGGCTGTAGATACAAACTCCAAGCTTCTCATCCCCATGCTCCTGATCTTGGTGGTGGATTACCCTTACTGTAACACCACTGGCTTAATTTTATAGTGTCTAAAGTAATACCTAGCAGGTTTCACTATCCCTACTGGTCTTGATTTCATCCTCTGCCGGTGATTCATCTAAACAGCAAATAAGCAAATATTGACTTGCTGCTGTGGGTGGATAGCCTGGGTCTGGTGTGGGCTGAGGCAGTCAGGTCCAACTTACCTTTCCTTGCACTGCACCAGTGAGCTACCTAGGATTCCCCCGAAGCCCATGTGGACACCTCTGAGCCTTTGCTCCTGATCCCTTTACCTGCAAGTTCTACCATGTTCAGTTCTACCCTTTACCTGACTCATTTCCACACCAGGCTGGCAGGATCCCTGCTGCTCTGGTACTGTGCACATACCTAATGGCACTTAGCCTAATGTGCCAGGTTTTGCGGGCAAGAGTAATTCCTGCCTTTGGGAAGTAGTGTCCTCAGTTTGGAGGTAACTGGGACCTGCTGAAGCAGCTTGGAGGTGACACTGCTTCAGGCAAGTGTGCGTTTTGCCTTAGTCATAGGGAGTCCTAGGTGGAGGGGAGGGGGATTCTTTAGGAAGGTTGACCTCTGACATACTTTTTAGAATAGGATGATCTTAGATATTGGATAGAACTGTTTTCATTGGACTAATCTATATTTAGGTCTGAGACACTGATTTTAGGAAATGATTGAACAATTTGACTTCTGAATTGTTGCAACTTGGAAAGTTCCACAGGTGGCCTGTAGGGAAGCAAAAATATGCCACCCCAAGGCATGTCTTTGGAATAGGTTTATTTCATAGAAAGGGCTGAAGGCTGCGTGGAAATTGTGTATGGTATTGACATCTAAACTCCTCAATGGCTTTTTCTCATAAAAATGGGGTGATATTACCTGTTGATTTGCTGAGTATGGTCCTGGCTTGCACCTTTTTGCAGCCTGATGACTGAGTGTCCTCTTGCACTCCACCTTTTCCTGGTTTTGTTGATAACTCATGAGGTCACTCCAATTGAAGCTCTGCTTCCATCTCCCCAGCCAAGCTGGCTTCTTGGGGTCACCCCTACAGGTCTTGGTGGGGTATATTCTGCACAGCGCAACACTAGATTGAAGAGGCAATAATAACCTCAGCACTTTTCTCATCACAACCAAGTCACCAACGGAAAGTACGAAAGTACATTGAAACAAACTCTTAATACAATCAGAATGTAGGTGGAAACCAGGGTATTTCCTTCTCCACCCTCCTGGAGTTAGCTTTGACCTACAGGTCACAGTGCAATCCTTTGTATTTCTAAGGGTTATTTTTATAGCTCATTGACAAAACAGACACTGGGTTACTATCAGTGATAGATTAGATGAGACTGACACCCAAGCCTTCAACCTTAAAGAGACAGGCCATTATTCACAAGAGTTCTCCGTTTTAAGCAATTTCAGTTGGCTTAATTTCATCCTGCCACTTAGTTGAATAAACGCTAAATGACTACACGAGCTTACAAGGTTCCAAGTTCCCTGGGTGGGTACTGCTAGTAGCAGGTACAAAACCAGATACATGCTGTTGGATGCAATGGTACACAAATGAAGAAGAATTTCCTACACAACGCTTCTGGCTCCAGACAGCTCCCAAAGGTGCCATTTAGATAATCCCAGCTCCTGCTTGTGCTTATACCAATAAGGTGCAAAGTCTGAAAGTATCCCAAAAAAAGTGGGTGTCCGCATCAACAACATGAAGGCACGGATCCTGTTTTTCGTTCTGACCATTCTCTCCAGCCCTGTCACGGCTCCTGCAGTACTTGTCAAATTAATTATATCTAGGTAGCCATTTGGTGAGTCTTAAGCTTACAACACTTAAATTCAGCTTGCCCAGCTCCTCCACCATATATGGTAGAGTCAAAAGGAGGTCTTCGTTCTTTGGCTGTTTTAACTGGCTTTGGCACTAAGGTCAAGTTCTCTTTTACTAAGTTTAAGGCTCATTTTGTTTAATTCTGGCTGGAATCAGGCTGCCAAGAACCTTGAGTTGCTTACATTATTAGGACTAATATAAAGTGACAATTTATCATGTAATTCCAAAGACTTCAGGTAGGCTGCTCTGTAAACAATGTGAGCTGATTAATGCCTTACATTTTGCAGCTTTTAGCTCAATCCCAGCCTCATTATAAAGTCGTTGTTGATTTTACAATATGCAGGTACATACATACACAAACATGCATAATACAGACATACACCACATTTGTGAGCATATGCAAGTACAGACGCATTAGAAACACAATGCAGGTGTATTACATGGATCTTTTGCCCAAGATAAGGTATCACTAAGGAGACAGAAATCTATAACTCTCTCTTCCAGAAGCAGTACTCAAGATAATCACTGGACCCAGAATCTATCACTAGGAAAGGGAAGGCAGGACATGAAAGCTATGGTTCTTAAAACATGATTCTACTGCCAGCTCTGCCTCGCATGTTTCATGGACAGATGTTTCCAGTGCAATGTCAACTATGTGTCTCATTCACTGCCGAGAACCCCTCTGATGGATGGGGGTGGTGCCCTAGCCCCATGCTACAAAGAAGTGCCTATGCAGTGTCTATTGTCACTTGTTGAGTTTGTTTTGTGGGGCCTCGGATCTCAGCAAGTTGTCTTTTTCCTCATGGATTTCAGATCAGGTGCTTGCATTGTCTGAAGACTGCAATGAGTATCAACTTACTCAGCTCCCCCACTGTGTGGACAGCCAATAAATGTGTGACTTGAACTCCAGTGGACATGCAGGCTCACCCCAAATCTAATGTCTGCATTGAGACCTTCTGCATTTGCCTCTCAATCAAGGTGTAGAAGAAGGCATCCCTGTGACTGTGCGCTGCTCTGCTAACAGTAAATGAAGGGGGCATTCAGGATACCTCCAAAATTTAATAAAAGTTTGGGCCAGATAGGTACTATTTTTGGTGTTTGGGTGCAAACATATGAATGATGGAGTCAAGTGAAAGGAAATTCTGCTCTTTTCATATCTCACTTCCTTTTACAACTAAAAGAGAGCCATTGACATCACCTGTCTGTGCACAGCTTCTCCTCAAGCAATTTTGTGAACTGTTTTGGCAACTGTACTCAGCTCATGCCTATATGAAATACAACATTGTGCTGGTAGAGGGCAAGGAGAGGATTTTTTTATTTTTGAAAAAGTGAACAATTTTCTGGTCTCTGGGGAGGATCCTATGCTATATTAAGGGCTCAATTTAGAGAGATAGGAAAGTAGAATAATCCAGTTCTCCAGTGTTTCCTTTACAAGAGAAAGTCATAAAATGAATGTGCTCGGATTCT